TGTTCACCAAAAAACTTTAGTGAGAAAAACTTTAGTGAGAAAAATTGAAAAAACGAACTAAAAACATATTAACGCCAAACATTCGGTAGAATTTATAAAATATTGTAAAAATTATTTTATATTCATTGCTTTGATTATACACTCATCAACTCAGAATTATTAAGAATAAAAAAACTTCTCGTGAACAATAATTACTCTTTGAAACAAATTGATCAAGTCATAAATAGATTAACCAAAAATATCATGAAAATGCACAAAATATACATCAAAATAATGCAATTACCAACAACGTTCCAATCAACAATGAACAGGAAGATAATGGCAACCCCTCCACCACGTCTAATAATTTTGATAATAACAGCATCACAAACCTCACCACAAACAGTAATAACAATAACAATAACACCAACAGCAACAACAACAGCCGTATCATTAGAAACCAAATCAACAACAAAATGAATGACAAAAATAAGATACTATTTTATTACAAAAATACCTTTTCAATGGCGTATAAAGAAGATGAAAGAATTTTAAAAGGAATAATATGCAGAAACGTAGTAGCATCAAATCCAATTAATAAAGTTCTTCGAATTTACTATCAAAATTTAAAAACATCCCAACTAATCATGAAAAATAATTGCCTTCCTGCAACTACTCAACTACAACAAAGTCATCTAATATATGAATATAAATGCTCCGTCGGTGAATGTTCGCACCGCAACAATGCTTCATATATTGGAATGACAACTACCACATTGTCAAGACGTTTGACCATGCATCTACAAGAGGGAGCAATTAAACAACATTATCAACAACAGCATAACATCACTTTAACACGACAAATGTTAAATAACACGCAAATAGTTTATTGCAATAACAACATCACAAACCTGAAAATAGTTGAATCAATTTTCATACAAAACAAAAAACCCTCCATGAACATTCAAGTACAGTCTAACAACATTCTACCTTCAAATAGACTACTAAATAAAAACAACAATCATTATAATTATAACAACAACAATTACAACTACAGCAATAATTATAACAATGTTATCACCAACAATATTGATGATTCAAACAACAATCCTATCAATAGTGACAACCTTAACAACATCAACAACACCAACATCAACAATAACAACAACAACAACAACAATAGTGCCAACACTGTAGATACCAATGCTACAACCCACAGCGCAAATATCAGTTGCAATTGGAACATCATCAATAGTGACAACCCTAACAACAACAACAACATCAGCAACAACAACATCAACAATAACAACAACAACAGTGCCAACACTGTAGATACCAACGCCACAACCCACAGCGCAAATATCACTTGCAAATGGAACATCATCACAAGAAGCAAGAAGAACCACAGCGATGATAATAATAATAATAACGTTAACAATAATAATACTAATAACGTTTTTAAATATTGTAAAAATAATATTAATAATATGTAGTTAATTAAATAAATTAATTCGCGCTTCTCGGCTGAGCATTGATATTTACCTTAACAACCATAAACAATATAAACAATCTTGCCGTTAAAAAAAAAAATAAATTTAAAATCGCATTTTATATTGTTTATAGTTATTAAATTTATTTTATTGGTTTTCTGTTTTAATTAAATAATTTATATAAATTAATAATTACTTGTTCCTTCTTATCAAATATCTTACATACCTTATATATAATGCACTGAAAATGAGTTATCTATAACTCGAAATAGCTATTTGCAAATTTATTTAATAAAAATTTTTAAAAAACAATAAAATGTCTAATTTCTCTGAAATTAATAAATTAAAAAGAAATATAAAAAAGTTGAACAATGCTGAAAGTAGTGTTGAATTTTTGAAACGTTGCGTTAACTACAGTCTGTTACCAATATATATATATATATATATATATATATATATATATATATATATATATGTGTGTGTGTGTGTGTGTGTGTGTGTGTGTGTGTGTGTGTGTGTGTGTGTGTGTATATATATACACACACACATATATATATATTATATAAAAATTATATAAAAATATATATTTTTTTATACCATATAAAAATATTGTATTTCTTCACAGTTCTTCGCAGTAAAAGTTCGTCACCAAAAAGAGCATGTTCGACGATTGGGATTGGAGGAAAATGCTGATGGACCTGGTCGTATACGCTGGTAGCGAACCTTGGTCTTTTGTATTTTATGTCCTGTTATTTCTGTCGCCATTTTTCTTTTTAAGCGCTTATTTGTCATGGCAGTTAGCTAAACAAATTGGGTACAAAGAAAAAGACAAGAAACGAAAATCAAAAAGAGACTCTAATGTTGCTAAATCAAGAAGACACAAATCAGATTGACAAAAGCTTATAGATTTTTTTCAACAGGTTTTTTTTACTGTGGATTAAAATTTTCGATTGCGATCATATTATTTTGTTATTTGAATTTAAAATTGTGTTGTTCTTTGTTTGGAGTTATAAACATGGATTCAACTAGACACATTTAAATAAAACGACTGAAATAAAACTTGATGGTTTTATTATATTCAGATAACTTGCTTAACTTTGAAATAATTTTAATATGTGCCTTTTCAACAATAATAACAACTTATTAGAAATTTATATTCGATTGAACATTCCACAGTTTTTAAAGTCTCTGACTACGAATTTCGTAGGTTTGCTGTTGCTAATTTATTTTTTAATTTGTACTTATTTTCAGTTAGTATGACAAGGTTATTTTTTTTATGTAATCATTTTCCTAGCGTTTATCATTTGTGTGTGATGTGAAATAAACGTTGCCAAGAACAGATGTGAATTTTAGGGCTCGTATTGATTTATTATTTTTTAATTTGAGCTAAAACGAATAATAGTTCACGAATCACTGATGAATTCAACTAAACACAAACTAAAGTGAATATTCTATATAAAAATTTTTTTCAAAACGGCAACAAAACAGCAGTAATAACTAAACGACATCCAGAAAAATAAACACGCAGAACAATGTCCGAAATATCACCAATTATCAGAACGACCAAAACTAAACACGTTAGAACCAAATTAATTAATAACTCACAAAACCTTCCCCTTTTTTTTCCTTTTTTTTCAAAAACAATTGTCCAAAACACTTATATACTAAATCAACTGAGAACTTCATTCTCAAACATACTCACTATACTCGCGCAATACCATTCACAAAACCAATTCACACAACATTCTACCGTCATGCATACAAAACCAGTTTATACAACGTTTTACCAGCATGACATACCAGACCACTCTATGGAACAAGCGCGAAAAACCAACACGCGCATGATCCATTCATTTTTATACACGCGCCAAAAAAACTTCGCAGTGATAATCCTATATATAATAGCTAAATCCGGTGAAGTAATCTTAGAGAAAGAAAAAGTACTTGAAAGATAGACTGAATACATTATCGATCTTTTTAATGATATCCGTGGTGAAAAGCCTCCTATTAAAAAAGACCTAGATGGACCAAAGATACTTGGATCTGAAGTTCGCGCCGCTCTTTCCGAAATGAAGTCAATTAAAGCGCCAGGTCCAAATGTGATAGTTGTTGAAGAAATTAAATGCCTTGGTAAATTTGGCATTGAAAAAGTGACAAAAATTCTAAATGGGATTTATAACGGCGGCGAAATTCCTGAAGATCTATCAAAGTCAATGTTTATTGCATTGCCTAAAAACCTAATGCAACAGAATGTAAACTACATTGAACAATCAGCTTGATGAGTCACTTTACATAACTTCTCTTGAGAATTTTGATGATGAGAGTACGAAGCAGTTCTAAAATTTCAAATGTCCAATGTGATTTTCTAGAGGATTGTGGCACAAGAAACGCTATCTTTATGCTACGAATGATCAGTGAACAAGCGATTGAAATGAAGAAAGACTTGTTGATATGTTTTGTCGATTACTCCAAAGTTTTTGAAAGCGTGAAACGCGTAGAGCTTATGGAAATACTTGTAAATTTGGACATTGATGGAAAAGACACGATGACTAGTTTTGTCGAAATAAAGAAAAATGTTAGGTAAGGCTGTATATTTTCTCCAGACCTGTACAATCTCTATAGTGAGATAATCATGAGAAAGATCGAAGATCCATTGGAGGCGTGAATATTTACAATGTAAGATATGCTGATGATACAGCTCTTATAGATAATTCAATGGAAAAACTGCAAGCAATTGTTTCCAAACAGGTTTTTGAGAGTGACAGGAAAGGCTTGCAAATTAACATTAACAAAACAGAGTGCATTGTTATCAGTAAATGCAAAACCACCTCGATCTGCTAAAATTATCATTAATGGTAAACAGGTGAAACAATTCAACAGCTTCAATTATCTCGGAAATCTGTTTACCTCAGGTTATAAATGTGATATGGATATGAAAAGAAGGATAGCTATGGCAAAATGAAAAACATCCTTACCAACAGTAAAATCAGAATATCAACAAAATTAAAACTGTTATGTATTACATTTTCTTATGATAACTTACGGTTCTGAGTCCTGGACAATTTTTGAAGAAATGGGAAAAAATTAACACTGCTGAGATATGGTCTTTGAGAAGAATTATGAAAATTAGTTGGACTTCTCATATTTCGAATGAGGGTGTATTAAAACAGTCAGGTTATGAAAAAAGGAAATTACTACAGATAATCTCACTGAGACAGTTAAAGTTTTTTGGTCGCATCATGCGGAAGGAAAGAATGGGAAATCTAACAACTACTGGAAAGATTGCAGGGAAAAGAGATCGCGATCAACAACAAATAACATTATAACATCCGTGAAGTCTTTGTGTCACTTGTTGAATATCACTACATTTCAACTACTACAAAGTGTCAAAGATGGGGTTTTGTGGAGGTCGACAGTCGCCAATGTCCTGAAAGGATAAGGCACGAGAAAGAATAAGAAGTTTGTAATTCTAAATTTGTTGCAGGCAACATGCAGTCACTTACAGTTGTGGAGCGGCAAGATTTTTGACGTTTGATGCAATCTGAATTTTAACGTTCGACCAATGCTAACCCAAATATTAAAATGTATACAAAACACGTGGTTCCAACATATGAAAAAATCATTAGAAACATTCAAGAAATGTGATTATGTTGGCACAGCTGCTGACATTTGGACACAGCATGTTCGCTGTCATATTAAGTCCCAAAGAACTCATTTGAGGCTTTACGGTTGTTTTAAAAAACCAACTATGATTGCAATTTATTGATATAAATAAATTGAATATTTAATAAAAATAAACATTTTTAAATTCAAAAATGGTGTTAACTAATTAATATAAACAATTAATAAAACATAAAGTTTGCAACTTGTTATCTGAAGTGAACAAATAATTGGCTGCAACAACATAGATAATTTTCTTTCTGTTTTGAATTAAACTACGTCAAGTAGTTATTTTACTTTAGTACATTTTTAAATATTTATTTAGTACTTGTATTAAAATAACTTTATTACTTCCAGCTATTGTATACTTTAATAAAATACATTTGATGAGTTACTTACTTACTTACGTCAAACTGCAGAGAACAAAATAATTTATTCTTATGCAAAAATAACACAAATTAAAAATGTTAAAAAGGATGACAAATCAATAGATTGCGACTTATTAAAAGCTTTTAGAAAAAAATAACAAAGAAAAAACATATCAATCAACAAATGATAAAAAATTATATAGTAAATAATGCATTACGCGCGTCACAATAACTTACGGCTAGCCGAATCAATACTCGTAGAACAGACATTCGATAATAATTCAACAACGTGCAGTTGGAATCCTTCCCAATCATCGATCATGAAAACACATAAAAGTGTTATATTGGACAAAGTTGAAGATTGTAAAACTAATTAAATGAGCCTTAAGTATTCACTTTGAACAAACAAGGAATCAACAAAGTAGAGTAGAGACAGTATATAGATATATTTGTGCTCTGTCTACACCGAAGATGGTGTTGAAATACCGAAAAAAGCTTTTTTGTTCTATCAAGCTAAAATAAACAAAAATTTTGGTTTTGAATACAAAAAACTTGAGAGTGTTTTACGATCAACTGTTAGAAAAGTTAAAAAGTTAAACAGGAAGATAACTAACGCCGAAAATGCTGCGGTTTTCATCATTAATTGCATTTCTGACAGTCTTAATCCAATATATATATATATATATATATATATATATATATATATATATATATATATATATATATATATATATATATATATATGTTGGTAATAGACCATAATTTTTACAATATTTATGGAACTACAAACATATTAACGCCAAACATTCGGTAGAATTTATAGAATATTGTAGAAATATATGTATATATATATATATATATATATATATATATATATAATTAAAAAAAACTTAATATAGCAATCGTTATAGCAGTTTTCACAAACGCTATCAAATTATAACCAATATATCAAAATAACAAGAATGAAAAAAAAACTATAATAAAAAAGGGTATGTCTTTAATTGTCTTTTAAATCCTGCAATGTTCATTTCAGGCATTCTGATGGCTGGCGACAAGCCGTTCCATACGACAGGGCCAGACAGCAAATTCACGTGTTCCAATCTTTAGCTGTCTATGAGGAACCACAAGAATGTTCGAATTGTCAGACCTTAGACGCACACCAGATGCAGTCGGCGTTTTTAATTTCAGTTTATCTGATAAATATTTGGGAGCCAGACCGTTTAGTGATTTAAAAAGTGTGACAGGGATTTTAAAAACAATGGGCAACCAATGAAAGTCTTTCAGGATCGGTGCAGCATTATCATACCATCGACATCCAGCCACAATCTAGGCAGTACGGTTTTGAATCGATTGCAGAATTTTGATAAATCTGGCCGGAAGTCCATAAAACAAACCATTGCAATAATCGATACGTGAGTGCACCAACGCATGCGACAAAGTCAGCATTGCATCTTTATCAAGTGATTCTCGAATTTGTTTCATTCTTCTATTCCATGCCAGTCATGATATAAAGGTCATTTTAAAATGAGATTTCATTGTTAGGTTTGAATCTATTATAAAGCCTAGGTCCGACACCGCTTTACAGAGATCTATTTTTTTTATCATTCATAACAACGGAATTTATACACAAGTCTGTCAATTGTTGCTAGGTAGAAATGGGAAGAAATTTTGTTTTACCCTGATAAAGCTTTAATTCATTTCTCGACATCCACAGATTAACCTCCGACATACATTCAATGAATCTCGTAATCTTGAAATAACTTGAAATAACTAATCTTGGTTTACTTGATAACATAATTTGAATGTCGTCTGCATATGCATGGCTTGTAAAATCATAAGAATCAATTATCTTCAACACATCAGATGTATAAAGCAGAAACAATAAAGGACCCAAAAAAAGATCTCTGCGGCGCACCAAAGAGAACCACACTGACGTAGGACAAACGCCGTTGAACGAAACCTACTGTGTTCGACCAATCAGGTAGCTTTTGAGCCAATTTATTATCTCCCAGATATACCAAAACTTTGATTCAGCCTGAGTAGTAACATTTCATGATTGACACAGGAAATGTTTTGAGCATCCATCTCAGCATAAACTCTTGAGAAAACATGTAGCAGGGCAGTTTCAGTGTAGTGAAATCGTCTAAAACCGGATTGATGTGCAGGCAGGAGATTATTATTATTCAAATGAGCAAGCAATTGTTTCGACACCAATCTTTCAATGAGTTTTGATATAAATGACAGATTACTGATAGGTCGATAATTATTAACATCATTTAGATCTGCATCACCTTTTTTCAACATCAGCCTCAGACACGGTCCGAAAAGTGTCTAAAACAACTGCTCACATCCAGGATCATCACTGTTTAGACAAGACTGATTTTCAGTGTCAATCCCCTGTTTTATCATTTCAATTTTTTCATTAAAGAGAGTCATGAATTGACCAGCATTGAGATCATAGAATTCGCGTTTAGTGCCTTCACAGTGACTGTTTAGAAAAATTTTATTAACCACCCTCCACAAGCATTTTGGAGTTTTACTGTTTTCATGGACAACTTTTTTCCAATATACTTTACGTTTGTTTGAATAAATTTCAGCTTTTTCTCTAAGGGTTCATTGGCTGACACTTATGTTTATCAGTCAATTTATGACTATTTCTAAAAAAATTTTCTTTTTTTCTACATTTCCGTTTTGAAGCCTTGCAATCATCATCAAATCACGGTGCAACATGATAGCGCCTAGGCACCACCAGCACAAGAGGAACAACCCTATCAACAATTCTCTTTAATTCGTGACTGAATAAATCAAATTCTGCATTTACATCATCAATTTTACACGGTCTGGACACTGGAGACTCAAATATTGCTCAGCGAAAGCTTTCTTATCAAAACGATTCCAGAGTCGGATCGATCTTTTTGCTCTCAGAGACTTTGTCAATTTTATTGATAAACTAACCTGATCAGAAAAGATTCCACTAGAATAAACCTTAGCTTCACGGACCGCTATATTGTATGACGTCACAATCAGATCGAGCGTCCCACCTAGAATATGCTTTGGCTCATTTATGTGATTGATCAACTGAAACATTTCAAATAACAAAATACTGGAGCTAATGATTGTAACACATTCTAAGACAGAAATCAGTTCATCAAAAAATGATGTCGTTAATTGTTCAAATTCAGGTCTGTAAATTGCCAGCATAATATAATCTAATTCATTAATTTTAAGTTTCACCTCCAGAACCTCAAAAGCAGTAACCAGTGGCCGAATAATCTTTTTATATCTAAAAGATGATCGGAAGAAAATAATTAAACATCCATGGCGTTGGTCAAGCGATCTTAAACAGTCTACAAACTGACAGCCAGGTGGCATTGATAACCCAATGGAAATATTATCTGCCGAACCATGCCAGCTCTCCGTCACGACAAAGATGTCTAGGCCTTCGTGAATCAAACCATAAATAGAGCTAAATTTTGTTATTATAGATCTAATATTTAAAGCTTTAACGCACTGGAATTTATCTATTACATTTTTATTGTTACACCCTTTTCAACCACACTCATCAAGATTTGAGGTTTTATATTGACACTTACCATAATAGCGTGTATTACCTGCATATCTAAAACAACTTTCAACGTTGTTTACTACATTAAAATCAATATCATCAACACAACTATCAGTGCAATCTGGCTCAATCAAACATTTTCTTTCAGTTTTTGTTCCCGCCGAAACTTGACTTTTTTCCATCTTCCCGGAGCTTCCCTCACTCTTTGTAAAAAAATCACTGTTTACAGATTACTGCCTTTTTGCATCGTTGATCAATTTCTTCAATTTATCTTTCTGATCATTTGAAAGGTCTTGATTAAGACAAACACCTTTTAGCACATCATCCAACGATTTCATTCGCGATACATTATTCATTATTAAGTTTTTCGTTTTAATCTCATCAAGATTAATCAATAACGGTTTGTTTAACTTTTCTTGTTTTTCCCTAGTCTCGTGACTTTAACAACTTATTTCTCGGCAACCTATATATATATATTGGATTAAGATTGTCAAAAACACAACTTTGATGAAAATCACAGCATGTTCGGCGTTAGTTAACTTCAAATTTAACTTTTCGATTTTTCTAACGGTTGATCGTGAATCATTTTCAAGTTTCTTTAGTTCAAAACCAAAATTTTTGTTTATTTTATGCATGAATTGAACCGAAAATCTTTATTCGGCATTCCTATACCAACTTCGGTGTTCAAATTGATATGTTGTGTTTGTGCCCATATATATATATATATATATATATATATATATATATATATATACTGTGCCTCTACTCTACTTTGTTGATTCCTTGTTTGTTCGTGCATAAAATAAACAACAATTTTGGTTTTGAGCTAAGAAAACTTGATAATGATTTACGATTTTACGATCAACCGTTAGAAAAATCGAAAAGTTAAATTGAAAGTTAACTAACGCAGAACATGCTGTGATTTTCATACAAAATTGTATATATATATATATATATATATATATAAATAAATAAATATATATATATATACATTTTCGATAAATATTTATATCAAAAATGTGTCAGTAAAAATTTTATCGACTTGCTGATGCATATATAGGTAATAAATATATATCATTGTGACGCACTTAATGCATTAACTATTCGAACTTTGAAACATTTAACTTTGAACTTTATTCAGAGCCTAGCTTAAATTATAAGGAAAACGGAGATTTACACATTCATTGCTGAATATTTATGTATCTAACATAGTTATTCATTCTCTTTTAGCATTGTGGTTAAATAGTTTTCAGAAATTTTTAGTTGGTTGTTAATAAATAGTTACAAATATATGGCAACATAATGTCACTACCAGGAAATTATGCCATTATTGATAATTTTGTAAACGGTGTTCGACTTAAATCAGATAAATATTTAGATGGATTCAATCCCGCCACTGGAGAAGTTTTTCTGAAAATTGTTGATAGTGGTTTGTCAGAGGCCAAAGAAGCTATAAACTCAGCTGAAAAAGCATTTGATAGGTTAGTTGTTTCTAGATTAATTATTACATTATATCTAGTTTGAATTACTGAGATAAAATCTCCGAACCTTAATCAATTAACTAATTGTTTCTAAATATACTTATAGAATTAATTATTCTTGTATTATATATATATTTATATATATATATATACCTTATATTTGTATATATATATACAAATATAAATATATATATATATATATATATATATATTGCCGGAAATTTTATGAAACTGGTGGTGTGAGGTAATCTCTTCCTCTATCTTTCTCAGGGAATTTTTTTATGGTCCGACAATAATTTTTGTGTATATTTTTATCGTGAGTTCGACCAGTCCTGTGTGGCACTGGGCTTTTTCGAATTATATGATTTTACTGAGTAACACACAAACGCGTAAAGAAAAATATTCGATAACAATTTTATTAATCGACGGAAGTAAATGAAAAGGAATTGAACTAAATGAACTCTATAATAATGTAAAATGTCAATGAACAAACTGGAATACAGGAATTAGAACTTCTTCTTGTTGGGTCTTCGACTTGGGATATGTTTCTTGGCGTTTAATCGTACAACCTCGACGTGTGTAACCGATAGTGACGTCTATACAACTCCAAGAAATAAATAAAATGAATGCGGAAAAATCGGAGCCTATGGAAATTGCAAGCTGCGTGTGAAACTATACCAATGAGTATAGAATCCAGCAAAGAACCCTAGGTCCACAAATAGCAAGAAAAGAAGGAGGCGGATTCGTTTCCACAGAATCCAAGGCCTGTTTTCACTGGGCCTGTCAGGTCGGCTTTCGCACCACCCTGGCTTGTTTTCACTGGGCCGTCGAGTCTGGTCGGCTTTCGCACGACCAAGGGCCTGTTTTCACTGGACCTGTCAGTCAGTTGGTCGGTCGGCTTTCGCACAACCCTGGCCTGTTTTCACTGGGCCGCCAAGTCTGGTTGGCTTTCGCACAACCAACACAGAACAGCACTGGAAACAAATTGTGTGACCAATGAGCATAGAATCTCGTACCAAATCCACTTTTGAGAACTTAAGACGTTTCTGAAACTATGCCAATGAGCATAGAATTACGAATTAAGTCTCTTAGGGACCAGAATAGGCACCGATTATTCGAAGCTGCCTAACTAGTCAACCCAGTGCGGACTCCCTTCACTCCACACTCTCCTCTTATATAAGATAAAGAAACTCTATATCAAAACAAAATTAGATTTTGTTTCGGGTGTTTTTAAACATAAAAAATTTCCAAGGTATGTCCAATTAATCAAAAAAAAAAAACTACTAATTAAATTTTAAAATAATTTGTAATAATTTATGACGTCATCTAAATTGCAAAACAAACAAAAAATCGTCTTGTCACCTATCGAGTAAATTAACTTGCATCATGCCCCCTATCGAGTGAATAAATTTTTCGTTGAAAGCCTTTGAAGTATTTTTAGTCAGTATTATTTCATAATTCTGACACTATATATATATATATATATATATATATATATATATAACTAACTTCTTGTTTAACTTTTCAATTTTTCTAACGGTTGATTGTAAATCATTTTCAAGTTTCTCGAGTTCAAAGACAAAAAAAAATTTGGCTTTGAACTCAAGAAACTTGGGAATGATTTACGATCAATCGTTAGAAAAATCGAAAAGTTAAACAGAAAGTCAACTAACGCCGAACATGCTGTGATTTTCATCAATAATTGTATTTGTGACAGTCTTAATCCAATATATATTTATTTATATGTAAAAGCATTTCCAACAATTTCAAAGTTGCCTGTACCAAAGACCATTTTAGTGGATAGGGGAGAAAATAGAGTGTAATTAAGGCAACAGCTTGTTGCACAAATTGCCAAATACATCAAGAGCTGTTGAATGGGGCGGCATAGTGGCCTGGTGGTTAAAGTCGCCCGGTGCTGTTTTGCAATTCCTGCAGTTACTGGTTCGAATACGGACAAATAAATTTCCGCCTATGCTATAATATGCTTCGTGTATGATGCATCCTTTGGCATGTGTTTACATACGATGTTAGCTTGTTATTGATTCTTCTGAACCTAGGAAAAGTGTGATAGGCCTTTAACTTTTTTTTTTATTTTTTAAAAATCAGGATCTGACAGATGCAGAAACTGTTACAGCATTCAAGGCAGTAGTACAAAATAAAACAAATAAGTAGATAAATAAATAACAAACGGAGAAAGAAAAATGTGTAAACATGAAAATAAAATAAAATAAATAATAATAATAATAATAAAATAAATAAAAGAAAATAAAATAAATTGACAATAAAATAAAGTACATAATGGCATAAAAACGCAAATTAATAGACTAAATGATGACTTAGTGAGTTAGTGAGGTGATCGATAAATAAAAAAGACTTTGTATGAATGATAAAGTTTTATTAAATAAAAACTAGTTGTGTGAATGATAAAGTTTTATTGAGAGTTAATATGTTAGAGGTGTCGTGATGAAAGTCTTTTCCTGATATGTAGATTGGATTGGTTGGAAACTTGATAGCTATGTTTGTTTGTACTTTTTGTTTGTACTACTTTTAATCTTTTCTTAAAATGTTTCAGAACCGAGCTGCTAAATTAATTGTTGATAAGTTATTATTAGATCATCAATTTTGTATGAACATCACTGGTTAACGCTTGACAAAAGAATATTTTTTTTAAATTGTTTTAAAACCGTAAAATATTCTAATTTTAATAAAATTAATTATAACAAAATTTGGTTAGAAATATTAAGAGTTGTAACAACAAAAAACTATCTAACGCTAGAAAATCGGTACATTTCATAAATTTTTTTAGTCTTTATTAATGAAGCTCTGACATACACAGAACCACATACATTGTTACAGATATATTATCTATATATCTTTATTATAGTCTTCATATCTTCATCAATTGATTTGAAGCAGTCATCTTTGCCACAAAGGCTGTTTATCCTCTTCTCACAACGTACACATGTATTTATGTGCACGCGCAAGCACCGCATCATATACGCTGAGTATATGATAGCCATTGAGATGTTTGACTCAGCTCGCATTTGAACCACTGAGCCATCTCGCCAGCAAAACATGCGACAACTTACGTCGTCTCCCCGTTTACCGACCTCAAAAGGATGGACGGCTGGGTTGGCTACCCGAATGAACCTGCAGAAACTGCAGGATTCGAACCCGGGTCGTGGTAGTAGTAGATGAACACGCTAACCACTCGGCCACGAGCGAGGTCCATATAAATTACTGTATATATGTATGTATATATATATATACATATATATATATATATTTATTATATTATATATATATGTTTATTTGTTTTGAGATGTATTTTTTAAATAATTTTTTTGGAATTGTATTTTTAAATTAATTATAACAAGAAACATAATTATTTGATTTAATTATACCAAAAATATTAACCTTTTTCTAGTTGGTCAAAAACGGACATAAATTTAAGGTCAAAAATTCTACTCAAAATAGCTGATTTGATTGAGGACAGACTGGACGAATTTGCAAGAGCAGAGTCTCTTGATCAAGGTAAACCTGCATGGTTAGCAAAAACTCTAGACATTCCTAGAGTTATTCATAATTTTAGAATTTTTGCTACTGCCGCTCTACACAAAAGAGACAGGTAAGCCATAAATCTTTAAAAAAAATTTGTTTTGTTTAAAAAGAATAAAGAAACATTTTCAATTTTTAAGGATTTTTAAAACATTTTCAATTTTTTTTATCGAGATGACAGTTTTATTGAATTTTATAGAAAATAAATGTTTATATAATGAATATGATTTGTGATTAAAGAATTCTTGTTTTTTGTCACCCATAAGCTTTGTCGAGCCACTGATTTCCTCATAACATCTCTCTATCAATTTCTATTTTAGGCCAGTTCCCCAAGAGCCATTCAAAATCTTCCTCTGGTATTTCCACATTTGGACATTCTTGCACGCTGTAGATCCTCTTCCAAGCAATTTTCTTGGTGATCTACTTCATCGTCCCTTTGGGTTTATATATAATTGCTTTTCCGATGGTTCGGTTTACATTTATTCGCAGCATTTATTCATGTCAACTTCATTTTGTGCAATATGATCATTTTGCTTATGTACGAGACGTGCGACCAGTTCTTCTTCTTATCTCTTCATTTAAAACATGATTCTGTTTAGTGCTTTTTAGAAATAAGACAAGACAAAGACTTTGCGAGTTGAAGACAAGACCAAGACATGTCTCGAGACATCAAAATCCGAGGAAAAAACAAAAAATTCAAGACAAAATCAATACCAGGAAGTCACATTTCCAAAAAATTAATGAGAATTTTACAAAAAATCCTATTTGAGCCGGATGTTTGTCACCTAAGTTTATATATATACTACATATATATATATTATATATATATATACCATATATATATATATATATATAAACTATAGTTATTAGTAAAACTTGGTTAAATGAATTGTCGGCTCTATTGATTGAAATAGAAAATTATATCTTTATATTCAAAAATAGAAACTTTTGTATAGGAGGTGGCGTTGGCATGTTTGTAAGAGATGATTTAGATTTGTGTGTGTGTGAGGATAAAGTGTTTAATGATGAATTTATAGACATGTTGTGTATTAATGTAAGATTAAAGAAATGTTGCAGTTATAAATATTTAGAAGTAATTGCCTTATATTGACCTTCTAATACAAATTTTGATGTTTTCTTGAATAAATTAGAAATTGCCCTCAACGTATGTAGGTAAAATCATCAAACGTATCTTGTTGGGGACTTCAATGCAAATCTTTTAAAATCAAATTTGTCAAACATTACATCAATTCAAAATTTACTTTTGTCATATGGCTTTGTTCCATTAATTGTTGCTCCAACTAGAGTCAATCATTCAACAGAACTTGCTGTATTGGAGTTCATGCAACGAGTGATGTACAATTTTAATGAGAAAATCTTAACTATCGGGATCTTTATTGATTTGTCAGAAGCTTTCGACATTATTAGTCATTATATACTTTTGCGAAAACTGCAATCATATGGCATTAGAGGAAAGGCTCTCCATTGGTTTAACACTTACCTCAAAAACAGAAATCAATATGTAGCAATAAATGGGAGAAAATCAGGTTAACTAAGCATTACCTCTGGTGTTCTGCAAGGATCCATACTTAGACCACTACTTTTGCAAAATTTATTAACGATCTTGCCTTAATAGCTTCTAAAGCTAAGTTTTTACTTTTGGCCGACGACACGACTACTTTCTTCCACACGAAAAATCCGCATGAAGATCAAACATTAATTAATAATGGTTTAAAATGTATTGTCAACTGGTTCTCAATAAATAAATCAGTAATAAACAACTCAAAATGTACATATACTAATATTTATTTGTTCTGTTCTTTTCCTGATTTTCTCATTTGTGTCATGTTCCTTGTAGCCAGTTCGCATCATTCTTTTGATACACATGTTCTCGCAGGCATGCTTTCCATTTCTCTTTAATGCCCATGACACAACCCTTTAAATCAAAACCGGGACCACCATTTTAGGTTCTTAACTTGACCTTTAGTCTTATGTTATGTCTTTTGAAAACTTTGGTGTATACTGATCCTGTAGCCCTTTCCTTCCCTTCAATTTCTCTTCTATTTCACCTGTCTTGTTAATATAATTTCTTAAATAGGTAAAATGTGTGTTTGTGTGTGTGTATACGCGTTTAAAAATTCAAGTTTTCAACTTTTGGCAGATGTCACTATATGGAAAATCAATCAGCTTTCAGTTACACGAGCAAACATCCAGTCGGTGTAGCGTTACTGATCAGTCCATGGAATTTACCTCTTTATCTTTTAACTTTCAAACTTGCACCCGCTCTTATCACAGGCAACACAGTTGTGTGCAAACCCAGCGAGTTCACATCTCTTACTGCTTCAATGCTGTGCGATGTTTGCAATCTTGCTGGTAGGGTTCTTTATTAATAAAAAAATAGTTATAACAATAATAATAATTAACATAAATTCCAATAGGTTTGCCACCGGGCGTATTGAATATGGTTTTTGGCACGGGACAAAAAGTAGGCAGCCATCTTGTAAGTGACCCTAGAATAAAAATTGTCAGTTTTACCGGAAGCACTGCAACCGCTGAAAAAATTAGATTGGCATCTGTTACACAGAACAAAAAATTGTCTCTTGAAGTAAAATTTTCTATTTTTAAATGTTTGTCTGTTTTTCAGGTGTAGGAAAATGCATCCAATTTTAAATATTTAGATGATAAAAGGGCCAATAAGATTAAAACGTTTTCACCCCGTCAAAAATTGATTGAAAGGAAAGGTTTTCAGGAGTCGGTGTCTGGTGTAAAGACCGCTGGACAAAAGACCGCCAGCGTAAGGTCGCCAAACTATAAGATCGCATAACACGAAGGTCGCAAACAATAAAGTCGCATGATATAGAGGTCGCAAAGCAATAAGACCGCATACATAATAATTGATAATAATGATAATAATAATAATATAATAATAATAATCGTCCCATGAAAAATTTTCGCGTTTTATTACTGACTTACGACTTTATTACTCGCTCTGAACAATCAATCCATGCACTACTGTTTAGAGTATTACAAATTTCTTGAAGTTTTTTGATGGTGGCTCTTTGGTTTGTGCAGTTCCTAAAAGGGGTTGATATACTTGTGGATAATGGATATTTTTTTGTGAAAGAAAAAAAGCAAAATGACACGATTTTTTGGAAGTGTAGCGAATACAAATGGAAAATGTCCAGCTCGCCGTCGCACCAGGCTCAATGAGATTGTAAAGTCAATTGGTGACCACAATTATGTTCCAGACTTTGCGAAAGTCGAAGCCAAGAGTGTGATGATTAATGTGAAGACTACATACCTACATACCTACATACATACATACATACATACATACATACATACATACACACATACATACATACATACATACATACATACATACATACATACATACATTTCCGGTACGATGTCGCGAGCGGTTTGGATTAACGAGTTATTGTGTTATTTATTTAATAATTTTAATAATTCTGACAAAATTGACGATGCGGAATTCATTTACGAAATAATGGATTTCTACAATTGTGAAGATATTAGAATAGCAAAAAAAATACTTACCAGCGATCTAGATGCATTAAATCTGGAAAAAGATGATAAAATAAAGCCAAACAGTTCTGGAAACTCTAAAAAGGACAAGGTTAGTGATTTAATACTAACAATAAAAACTATTCTGAGCAACAAAATTGAAAGCAAATTGCCTCAGTATGCTGCTCTCAACCTTTTTAAAATTCCAAGCTCAAAAAAAGCTAAATTTGAGTCAATTCTTGACGAAAAGTTAAAAAAATTAGAAGAACTATTTATTGAAGAAAGAAACATCTTCCGAGAAATAGTAAATGATGCGGCTATTAACAATAGCCCAAAAGTAGAAAGAAAGCAGCAATCCGATTGCAAAACCGAATCGAGCAAGCAATCTGACTGGTCAGAGATTGTAAAACGTAAAATTAAAAAGAGCTCAAATGTTCAACACGTGGCGAATGTTCAACACGTAGCGAATGTTCAACACGTGGCGAACATCAACATGTTGAAAACAAAGAAAAAAACACACAACACTAACATAGCAAATATGAAAACAGTTATAGGCACCCAAACTGATAAACAAACAAATTTGAAAGCGATGAAACCTTCGCCAAAAAGAAAAGTTTTTTACGTTGGTCGATTGGACCAACAATGCACTGCAAAAGAGTTAAGCGAACACATAAATGGATTGAAAATTGAGGTGCTTGGTTGCTCAGCAATCAAAAACTCAACTTTTAATCGCCGCTCAAAGCAAGCTACAACATCGATCAACACACAAAACACGAACTCTGACAAAATTGATGTTCAACAGACAAGCGCTGCATTCAGAGTTTGTATTTATGAAACAGACTCAGCTGAGTTCATGATTGCAGAAAACTGGCCAGACCAAATCATCGTCCGCGAATGGTGTTTCAATGATCCGTCGGCAAATGTTGTCAATGACCTGTCGGCAAATGTTGTTTCAACTAAAAATAGCAATGAATAAAAACTTCATAGAAGAGAATCTCGAAGAATCAAAATATTACACTGTAAAAGAATTATCTAACATAATAAAATTGAAGAATAAAATGAAAAACAATCACCTACCAATCATTCATCTGAATGCTCGAAGTTTGTTTCATAAATTATTAAATCTAGAAATCTTCTTAAAACAATTCGACGACTTTTTCAAAATTATAGTAATATCAGAAACGTGGTTGAACAATGAAACAGTTGATTTAATTAAGTTAAATAATTACAATTTTGTATATAAAAATAGAAAAAGCAAACGAGGCGGAGGTGTTGGTGTGTTCATAAAGCATGACATCAAATATGTGT